GTGTCATAAACAATAATTATTTTTGTTGATAATGGAAATTAAACACAAATTCAAAACCAACCAAAAAAATGAAATTGATTTCGTATTTGGTATGGGTCAACAATTCAACTCTTAGGTCAAACATGTCAATATTTGATGTCATAGATAAATAATAAAAAATTTAAAAATTAAAAATGAAAAATACATAAGTTTTGCAAAAAAACATTTGAGCACATCTCTAATAATTGTATATTCATCTTATAAAAACAAGTTCCATAAATAAGAATTACTTTTATACATATGAAAATATAAAAAATGTAATTTGAATTTAGTCTATTTTTAATTGTGAGGCCAAAACATGTAATTTTAAGGTGCTAATGGCTAATGCCCATATGGTGGAATGGGATGCCGATTCCCATTCTTGGGGGAATAGAAATTCCAAGCTTCCCCCCGGGAATGGGATTCCCATACGAGAGTCTATCAAGGAATAAAGAACTCATGACAAAAGGCCCCCAAACCCTAATGTTAATAAAATAATAAATTAATAATAAGTTAATAGTAATAATAAAATAATAAATTATTAATATAATATAATTAAAGTAATAATAATAAAAAAATACATAATTAAACAATAAAATATTATGGAAGTAATAATAATAATAATAAAATATTAGTGAAATATTTATTAAATAATCATACTATAATAAAATATTAATAAACCAAAAAGAAAATAGGAATAAAATATAATAATAAAAAGATTATTAAAGTAATAATAATATAATTATATTTTAATAAAATATTCATAAATTAATGGTAAATACTAATAAAATAATAAAAAAAATTAATAATAAAAAGCTAAAATATTATTTATTAAATAATAAGAATAATTAAGTACAAATAATATATATAATATAATTAAAGTAATAATAAAATACTAACATATTATTTATTCAATAATAATAAATTAATTTGAAACAATAATCAAAATGATAAAAATTAATAAACTAATAAGAAAGTAATAATAAAATGTAATAAATTATTAATAAATACTAAGGTATCAATTATTAAATACTAATAAAATAATAATAACAAAGTACTAATAAAATTATAATTATATATTCATAAAATATTAATAAAGTAATAAGAAAATAATAAATAGACTAATAAAATTACTTTCGGTCCTATCCGCAAATCAAACGAACCCTAAATCTCATTTTTTTCAACATTGAACCAAAAAAAAAAGAAATTGTCCTTTTGTCTAGTAGTAGATAAGCAATTCAACCATTTGGGTCAAATGAGTCAAGCCTTTATACCATAATTAAATAATAAATGCCACGTGCAAAGCATGCAAATTTACTATTAAGCAAAAAGGATAAACATTGTCACTGTTACAAGAAATATTAAAATGATATTTTTTTTTCAAAAATAGTTCTTATAGAACTTGAGGCACTCTGTGTTATTTGAAAACACTCGGTGTTACCTAAGGCCCTCAGTGTTACTTGAAAACAAGTTCATACTGGCCCCCCAGTCATCTCACAGGCACATCCCAACCATGTATTGAGAACATTTCCCAATGACAAGTATCTGAGATGTTCTCCATACACGCAGAGATATGTATGCGGGGTGCCAAAGTGAATTCTTCTAAAATGGGTAAAAATCATTCAAACAATCAAACAAAAGTAAGGGAGAATGCAATGCCTACATGGCTAAATCTACATGACGCCAATTTGGCAAAAATGCCTTAGAAAAATGAAAATCATATTTGCTATTCATATAGTGTGCCTCATAGTACACGTGACGCAACCATGTATCTGAAACATCTTTCCAATAATTTGACAACAGTAAAGGAGATATTCTAAATTCACGGTTGAAAGCGCTATGAAGTTGTAACAGGCGTGCCGTGTAAGGTGCAAATCCAGATTCCAAAAAATGGCACTCGTTGCCTGAGTTGAAATCAGCCCTCCACAAGATAATTTCCCACAACGTATTCCTCCTATGTATTGAAAACATCTCATGTCTCATCATTTTTGGATACATGGCGGTATATCAGGGCAAGTCAGTGCTTATACGGAGTTTGGATCTGTTGAGCACGCATGTTTTCATTTTTTCTATCGTATTTATCTGTATATATATTGATATTTAAAAAAGTAGGCTTTAAATTAGGATAAAATACAAAGACCCTACAATATGGACCTGTGACAAAGACCCCTCTACTTTGTTTTGTGACAAAAACCCTCCCTGTACTATAACCGTGAGACAAAAAACCCCTTCAGCCTTCCATTCAAAAAGACCATTACAATATTTTTGAATCCCCATATTATCTTCTAATATCCATTCCTTCACATTTCTCTCCTCTCCCCCGATCTCTCATCTTCCCCTTCCCCTTTCTCTCCTCTTTCTATGCTCCTCAATCCTCCAATGCTCTCCGGTATCTTGTGGGAAAGATAATTGTCGGAAAGATCGAGATTTTTGAGCAAAGCGAGATTTCCTAAAGACTCTGGAATCTCTCCGACGACCACATTACAGTTAGGAAGCCATAGATTTTCTAGCTTGGTGAGGTTTCCAATATGTAATGGCAAGGGACCTGGGGTGAAAGGGTTGTAAGCCAGTTTGAATCTAGTGAGCTGGGTGAGATTGGTAAGGAAGGTAGGGATGATACCATTGAGCAGGTTTCCTTGTTGGCAGAGGATAGTGAGGTTGGGAAAACGGTCGAAGCTCGAGGGGATGTGGCCGGAGAAGTTGTTAAACGAGAGATCCAAGGAGCGCAAGTTGACAAAATCGGCAGTGAAGTCGGGTAAGTTACTGACGAACAAGTTGAGGGACAGATTCAAATGGTGAAGATGGGAGCAAGAAAGATGGAAGTAGAAGTAAGGGAACCGTTGAAGAAATTATCAGCGAGGGAAAGGTTCTGAAGGGTGGGAATGCGGCAGAAATCAGCAGGAAAATAGCCGTAGATGTGGATTCCTGAGAGGGGGATAGAGATAACGGAAAGGGAAAGAGAATCACAGACAATGGCAGTCCAATTACAGGGAATAGTGTTAGTGACTTGCGGGGGTAGATTCCAATCGTGGAGGCTACCGGTGGGATCATCGAGATGGGAGTTCTTAACTCGGTGTAAGAAGATGGCGTCTTCTGTAAGAGAGGCAGCCGGAAAACACGGGAGGAGGAAGAGGAGCAAAACAGAGAAGAGAACCAACAGGGAACAAATCGAGCGATGATGTGTCATTTTTTAGGAGCAAAACAAAAGCAGAAAGCGGATGCTCTGTTTTGTAACAGAAAAAAAATCTGAGTGAGTGAGAGTGAGAGCACGAGAAAAATGGTTTCAGTTAAGGGGTGGGGGAATTACGGAGGAATTTATGCTCATAGGGCAGAAGCCAGAACTATCTGCCTTGTTGTTCCTGATTTTTGTGGGTAAAATACGAGCACTCCAACTGTTATCAGGGGTCGGGGGGTTTCGTCACTGGGGCTGTGGGTCACTGAACTCTAGGCTACGAAGAGAGAGAGAGAGAGACGCAGGGCCTGGGGGAGAAGCACCAGCAACAACATAGTAAACTGATTTTTTATATTGAGTATTCAGAGAAGAGAGACTGTAGAGGCAAAGGCAACAGAAACAAAACATGCATGCTACCTGGATGGATGTGTTATGTGTAACGTGATCTGAATCTGATTGCACTGCAAATCCAAGTCAAACTGCTTCCCGAGTCGGCTACTCCCATGCTCCCTCTATACATTTATGTCTTCCCAGTTCTCACAAAGACTTTTTTGTACAAGAACTTTGCCAATCAGAACTCAGAAACCCGTGAATTTTGATGAAACACCAGTAATATATCGTGAGGTCGTATGCAGAGGAGAGCGACAAGGCACTGATCGCATGGAAGAAGAAAGAGGAGGAGAGAAGGGGGAAGGGGAAGAAGAGAGAGCGGGGGAGAGAAAGAGAGAGGGAAAGAGAGAGAGAGAAATGTGAAGGAATAGTTATTAGAAGGGGAAGATGAATAGTATTTATCTCGTTCTTGTTATAAGGGTAATATGGGGATTAAAAAAATATTGTAACTACCTTTAATACAAAGGGGTTTTTGTCGCACAACAAATTACAGCGAGGTCTTTGTTTTATAATTTACCCTTTAATTTATGTAGACAATAACTGTTTGTGACCAGCAATGTCTCGTAGTCAGAATATCCAGACTTGAATAGCATATAAGGGCAAGTTTTGGGGTTTAATATCAATAAAAGTAATAATTTAAAAAAAATTCAAAAATAGGTTAACTAAAAATAATATCAATAAAGGACAAAAACATTATTCATCTTCTTCTTCTTGTCATTTGTTCACCGGAGCTGCCGCCTATCGTCGCCCGTTGTTGCCTGTCACACCTCCATCCACCTTCGACAACGTTGTCAGAGGTGGTGGCGGCGGCACTAGTGGTTTCTTTGTCCAATGCTGCCACCTTCGCCTCTACCCCCGACAATGTTGTCGAAGGTGGGTGGAGACAAAGGTGGCAGCAACGACGGGCAGAGGAATGGCAACCGGCGTCATTGTCGCCAGCTCTGCCTCCAGTCACCTCCGGCAATGTTGCCGGAGGTGGCGGTATTGGACAAAAAAACCACTAGTGCCGTTGTCGCCACCTCTGCCTTCGGCCACCTCTGACAACATTGTTGGAGGTGGAGGCGGAGGTGGGCTGAGGTGCAGTGGGCGGTAGCAAACGGTGGTGGCAGACGGTGACTTGTAACGGCTTCGATGAACAAATGGCAAGAAGAAGATGAACAGTGTTTTGCCGTTTATTAATATTATTTTTAAAAAGTTTACCTGATTTTAAAAATTTTTAAATATATTACTTTTATTGATATTAAACCCCAAAAATTGTCCTTATATGCTATTTCTATGGTTTAAAAAGTGGTATTTTCGTAATTTAGTGGAAAACAAGGGTTATCTTATGAATATTTGGGCAACTGCCTTTTAGGAGATTGCAAAAGCCCGAGCGACACAACCCAACAGTATAAATAATAGAATTTGGCGCCCGATTTATTTCAATTGTTTTCCCTGCGGAAGCTGGAGTCACAGAGCTCTGAGGGTGAAAGCTTCGAATTCTTATTTCTAAGGTTTTCTCCGGGCAAACTTTTATATATGAATTCATGATGAAGAAGATCGGGTTTTCCGGTATCAAGAGCTTGGATCAGTTCAGATCCTTGTCAGGATCGGTTTCAGGATCCGCGAAGACCGTTCCTATATATTCAAGGTCGTCTTCGGATTCAATTTCGTCGGGGAATTTTTCCAACTTGAAGCTCACTGCAGGTTTCTATTCTATCCTTTTTCTCTTTAGTTTACTTTGTTTTGTTAACTTTGCAAAGTTGAATTCTATCCTGTTCTTTGATTTCTTCGTTTCCAGAGAAATTGGTTAAAGAACAAGCCTCCGTGAAAACCGATCTTGAAATGGCGGTAAAATGGTTTCTAATTGTTTTCCTCGCATTTATCTGGTCATAGTTCATAATTTAGTGACAATTGTTGCGATACCACCCACATATACATTTACGCACCTTCGACGGCATCTAACTTAATGTCAGTGCTTAACTATATTTTGTTTATTTTCTATAGAATTATTCTGTTTATTTTCCTGATATTGTCATCTTTAACTTAGATTCTTCCTACTAGATTGATTTTTTAATCTTATTGTATCTTCATGCATTGTCATGTTTAAGTGGATATTTCATTGTGTTATAATGATTGCGCTTGCATCGGACTTTAAATTAATGAATAGAATCGGTAAGCTGGCAGAGGAGATAACTTGCGAATGCTGATTTCAGATACTAATTAACCAACTATCGTGATAAACGGTGCAGAACTCAAAGCTGAAGAAAACAGAAGAGCATATTCATGAGCTAGAGGAGAAGTTGCAGAATGCAATCAATGAAAATGCAAAACTCAAAGTGAAGCAAAAAGAAGATGCGAAGCTTTGGACAGGACTGGAGTCAAAGTTTTCTTCAACCAAGGTCTTATGTGATCAACTCACTGAAACTTTAAAGCACTTAGCTGGCCGAGTTCAGGAAGGTATCTCCTTATCTTTTCTTTCCTTGAATTTTGTATATTTTGTTTCAGATTCAGACTGTTCTCTGTTAATCTTCATCAACAGCTGAGCAAGATAAAAGGTTCTTTGAGGATAAACTATCTGCAAGTTCAGAAGCTTTTGATAGTCTACACCTCCAGATGAATGATCTGTCTGCAAAATTAGAGTCCGCAGAAGAAACTATTAGAAACAGTAAGGCCTTGTAGAATGTTCATTTTATGAAGATTTCCATTTTTGAAGATTAGGATACATCAATATAGTTACTTGCTTTGTGCACCGGGAAGTAACACTATTGATCAGATGGGAAACTTATTATAGATGTGCCAAAATAAAACTGGAAAGTTAGATATATGTAGCATCCACTCCATTCTGATGTGCTGTTCTTGTGATTTGCTCTTTTTTTTTTTCTGGTAGTGGAACAAGAATTGACAGAAGCCAAAATTGAGGAGGAGAAAAGGGAAAGAACTTACAGGGATGAAAATTGCAAAACTACCCAGCTCATAAAGGATAAAGGTTGGTCTTCTCCTTTCTAGAGATTGTAAACATGTCAACCCTTCAGTTGGTGACTAGTCATGTAACCCTTGTGATTTGCTTTCTTGGAGTTGGTCACTTTGATGTGTAAAGATGCAAAATGAACTAGATGAAAAAAAATAAAAAATAATCCAAGTAGGACCAGATGGATCAGAATGAGTTTGAGTCTCTTATTATGCGGACTAGTTTTTGAAAAACCTTAATTTTCATGGCTTTGGTTAGTAAAAAAGCTGCTACAGTTTAACATTAATAAGAACAGAATTCTTTGCATGCAGATGCTCTGATTGAAAGGTTAGAAGCAACTTTGGCAACTGATAAGTTGAGTATAGAAAGTCTTAATTCTCAGTTGGAAGAGATGCGTCTTGAGCTAAGTTCAAAACAACATGAATACAATTGTTTGATTGCTAATCAGGAGAATTTGGAAAAAGAAAAGAATGCTCTTCAGTCTAACAATGAGGGCTTGGTTAAAAAATTGCTTACAGCAGGCCAAGACATAAAACACCTTGAACATTTAGTTCATGTTTCACAGAAAGAGCTAATTGAATTGGATAAACAAAGTGCAGCTGTTGCCAACAATATTGCCCAGTTAAACTCTGCATTTGACACTTGGGATAAGTTGGTTCAAGAAGAGAAGTTTTTAGCTGCCAAGCATGCTCAGTGCCGATTTGATCAACTTCATGACCAATTTCTGCACATTGCAGCAGAAAAAGATGCACTTAAATTGGAAAAGGAAGATTTGAACAATAAGGTCATTGATCTGCAAAAAGTGCAGGAATTTATGATGGTGCAGCATGCTGAAGAATGCCGTTTAGCAGAAGAGAAAGTCTGGAAATTGGAGTCTGAAGTAGAAACTCTTGTTTCAAAGAAGACTGAATTGGAGATTTTGGTTACCAGATCAGAAGAGAAAATTGAAAAACTGACAGAAATGTCAAGCTTATCAGAGATTAAAACGGTTTGCAAGCTTTATTCTTTATCAATGGTTCATTTTATTGTTGTGTTGCATGCTAACCTGTTTGACTTGGTTGAATGTCGCAGAAAGATCTATTAGTTAAGATTTCTAAGTTAGAATCCGAGAGCCAACTTCTTGAAGAGAATCTGCAAGAAAAACTACAGGAGAAAGCAGAAGAAATGGAATCTCTTCAAAATGAGATAGTGAAGCATGTGCAGCATGTTGGTTTACTGGAGAAACAAGTTGGCCAACTTCAGAACAGTTTAGATGAGAAGGAAGAGCTACATCTGCAACATAAAGACAGAGAGAAACAGCTGGAAGATCAAAAAACAGAGGTTTCCAAAAAGAGTAATTTGATGTTCTGGAGTTATTTAAGTTTAGCAAATACTAAGATAAAATCAAATATATGATTGCAGATTCAATCAGTTCTAGCAGCATCTGAAAGCAAACTTGCAGAAGCCAAAAAGCAATATGATCTGATGCTAGAAAGCAAACAATCAGAATTATCAAAGCATCTAAAGGAAATTTCTCAGAGGAATGATCAGGTGTTATCATTTTGCTATTTCATTAAATGAATGCTCCAAATGGTTAGAAAAGCTCTCCCTTCTTTTAAACCAAGAGGAGTTTGATTAGGCAATTAATGATATCCGGAAGAAGTACGAGGCGGAGAAACTGGAGATTGTTAATCTTGAAAAGCAAAAGGTCTGTTTATACTAAAATTATCTATTTAGGTGTGCAACTTGGGTGGGCCTGGGTTTAGCATTTATTAAGTTTTGAATGGGCACGGACCAAGGGCCTGGGCCTGATACCATGCTAAATCTTCAATTTGGAAACCCAATTTGCATTCTTATCTCTATTGTTGTTTTTATTATGGATATTATTCATCCATTTGAACTTTCAGGCAGACAGACTTATTGGAGAAATGGAAAGAAAATGTGACCAAAAAGTTGCAGAAAGCAAAGAAGAAGCAAAGCAATATCTAACTCATGTTCAGGAGGAACATGTTGCTTTGGTATGTTAGAAGATTAATTAATTTTTCAGGTTTGTGGTTGGTTGTTCTCCATACTAAATATGCATAAGCAATACCTGCATATTTGCAGTTTGAACTTGGGGTTGGTGGTTGTCAGAGTCACGTTACACAATGTCTGACTATTCTATTAAGATTATACCTTTGTTCTGTAGTAGCTGGAGAATATTTCTTATTGGTTAAGAGTTACATAGCCTATTAATATAACTTTTCCATTTACAACAAGTGTTGTACTAGTTGACCAATTAAAAGAAGTGTTGGACTAGTACATAAATATAAAATGAAATACTCTGTCTGTGCAATTGTACCTTTGTATTATGTACTTACATATGTACAGCTTGCTAGTTTGGCTTACCTAATGCATCATTCCCCATTTATATAGCTTGCGTTCACTAACATTTCCATGTTATATGATAAAACATCCTTTCCTGTTCTTGTTTATGATTTGTAGTCTAATTGTACAGTTTTAAATGATAATATTTAAGCCTTATATCATATGCCAATGGTTGGTTTTGTATTTATTTTGACCTGCCTTTTGAATGAAAAGTTCTCATTAGTTTCCAGAACTATCTTATTTTCTTTTTCTGTTTTGTAGATTAATCATATCAAACAAGAGCATGATAAAATTCTGTTGAGTCTTAGAGCTGAACACAATGAAGAGCTAAAACAAGTTGAGCTTAAAGTTGAAAATGAAATGAAGGAAGTAAACTTTGTTTTGAAGTTCTCATTATTTTATTGTCCGGGATTCTTATTTTGTTTCAACTGCTCACTGTTCAAAAATTTATCACCCTTTAGAAAACTATGTTGATGAGGAAGGAGCATGAAGCTCAGATTAGAGATTTGAGGCATAATCATGAAGATGAATGTAGAAAACTAAAAGAGGAACTGGAACTCCAAAAGTCAAAGGTGTACATTTTCTCATGAGTTATTGTATGAATTTATATAGTTCTGACCTCATTTTGACCTTGATTTTGGTTTGCTGCAGGAAGAAAGGCAAAGGGCATTGTTGCAGTTACAGTGGAAAGTAATGGATGACAATCCACAAGGGGATCATGAGGTCAACTCAATGGAGGTTTAGTAATATGCTATAATATTTATGTTTTCACTTTTGAGTGCAGAGATATTCAAGTACTATAACTAAGGTCACAATATGCATAACATGACCACACTTCTTGAGGGCTTTATTTTATCTGAAACAAATAACAACTCCTCTGGAGTTTCATATAATATCTGCTTAGTAAATATTTTCCTATTAAATGTTGAAAACATGCTGTCATTTATGATGAAGGAATTTTAGAGTGAAAGCTACAAGTTATCATAGTAGTCTCCTGCTATTAATAACATCCAAGCTTTTATCACATTTTCTCCCACAAAATGGGCCTGGTTTCTTTCTTGCTTTAATCACTATGCCTTTCAGCTCTAGTGCTATAATTGTTTCTTCCTCCTGAGTCAAAGGGGGATGATAGGTTTGGATCTAAAAAGGAAACAAAAGGTGAGGATAACAATCTCCAAATGCTTGGACTTTCAGGTTGTGTGTCTTGATGTTTTAGTAGTATCACCACTTCCAATCTCAAAAGCAAATGGTAGACCATTCTCCCTTTTGATGCCATTGCAATAGAAGGTCCAGACTCTAGAGTATCCATGTACAATGAAATGCCTATAAACTTTTGTGACCATTAGTCCATAACTATTCCACAAGGTTACAGTCCAAATTAAAATCCTTGGTTTTTTTTCAGGTGACCCAGGATCATAGTTGCCAAGATGACTCCTAAATGAAAAGGTGCCCATGAAGGGTTTCCTCGCTTAAGTGCCTAGCTATTTTTTACACGATGCTATAAAATAGTTTTATATTTTTTAATTTTTGAGTTTATAAAATAAAATAGGCATTTTTATACTAAATTGTTCATTTTGTGTTTATATACTAGTTTCATTTTTATTTTCTTCTTTCACCCTTTCTTTTTTTTTTTTTTCCTAGGACAAAAGCAGGAGCTCAATTCCTATATTTTCTGAAATTTCTTTTCTTTTTTCTTTTTCTTCTCATGAATATGTTGATTTTCTATGATGGATCTTAATTTCAACATAAGTCAAACAATTAGCAACATAAGAAACAATTAGGGGGGTAGAAAAAGGGGGACAAGTTAGCACCTTGGGGTGATTGGGGTGCTTGGCACCTTATTATTCTTGTATATATTATCTAATTCTTTTCTTTTTCAAATCAATAAAGTTACATGTTGCCAATCATGCCCTGTTTGTTTTCATGTAAGTTGGGGGGGGGGATGTTCCACTTTAGGCAAATGTGGGACCCACGGTAATTGCACATTCCCTTGGGTAAGTTTTTTGGCCACTTACCTGGGAAACTCTTACTGTTCTCCTAATGATGCAAAAAGGCCCATTTAACAGGTGGTGCTTAGGTGCCTGCCTAGGCAACTTAGTGACAAGGCACCCCGTTGCCTAGCCTTACCTTGGAACCTTGAAAACTATGCTTAGGGCAAGAGGAGTGTCCTATAGATTTAGCAATGGTGGGCTGAGAAGGGTGGATAAAGAAAATCCAGTTCAAAGGAAGATTCCAGATTTGGAAAAAGTTAGAGAAAAAGGGACTAATTCCAGATCGAAATGTTATACTTGTATGGCTCAATAAAGGCAGAGATAGAGAGATGCTTTCGTACCTGTAATAAGAAAAAGAGAGAGAAGAAGAGCTTACGCTTTTAGAAGTGGAGAGAGTAGAGAAGAGAGACACATGCCTCACAATAAATCAGAGTCAAATTCTTATTCCATGTTCAAATTTACTCTTTTATCCAATTTACAGAAGAACATTTTTGTAGATTCTAGATAGAGGGATTGTCCAGCACAATTTCCTATTTAAAATAACTGACCAAAAGAAAATAGAAAATTTAACTTGACACATACATGGCATGGTAGGAAATCTTCAGTTTTGGTAAATTTCTACTGCATCCACCACACATTGGTACCTATCATGCCTGTATTGGTCAATACTCAATGCTTACAAACTGATATGCAACTTCTATAAACCATCACAAATCCATATTCAACTGTACAAATCCACACTCAACTTTTACAAGTCATTACAAACTATACTCAATCGTTACAAACCCACGTTCAACCTTTTCAAACAGATACACAATAGATACAAACTATTAGAAACCCATACTAAACCCTAACAAACCATACTTAATTATTAGAAACCAATACTCAAGTACTCAACCATTATATATCAATATCCAACTAATACAAAATGTTACTAACCTATACTCAATTGGTAAAAACCATTATAAATCCATTCTTAACCATCACAACCATACTCAACTGTTATAATCCCTCAACCATTACAAACCATACTCAAGCTATTGCAAACTGATACTCAACTATTATAAATTCATACTTAACCATTACAAACTGAATCAATTGATATCAATTATTATAAACAAATTCGTACCTTTCTATTTCAGTTTTGAATAATCCATATGTATCCTAAGCATATCCTGATATATTTCTTGAAGTTGTCTTCTGATAATCATTGCATTTCTGACCTTACTGTGATCTTTGAACATGGCATTCCAGTTGAGGTTTTGTTGGTATTAGATGAAATAAGTGAACTTCACAAAATGAAACCCAGATTTTCTAATTTAATCTTCTTTTATTGCTCTCCATGGAAAACTTGAAAGTATTGCACTTTCTTCCCAATCCTTGGCAATGGATAGCTTTCTAAATTGCAATACATGGATATTTGGAATCTTCAATGTCTTGACCTGTCAAAAACAATATAACTTCCAACTCCTTGGATTTAAAAGTCTTCTCAAAGATAATAGTGCTCCATTTCTTTTGCAGAAGTATTCCATCTCATCAATCAAAATGGAGGATGCGCATGATAGGAAAAGGAGTCGACATGGCCCAATAATATCAGAGTATAAGGCGAAGGTGAGAAGGAGAACAATATTCTGACCTGCCTCCTTTGGCAACAATCCTGGGTCCCAGCTATGTGGAATATAGAGTATTCGGTTGAATATATGTTTGTGCATTATTTCCAGGATTCATCTTTACTAAGAGCAACACAAACACCAATGGCAAATTTATTGAAGAAAGTAGATAAAGTGACTCCAGGAAGCATATTGAATATTCCTAAGCATAGTAGGAAGGTAAGTTGCATGTATTTGTATGCACTCGCATATGTGACATAATATATCCCTGTTGTGGGTGATGATAGATATCTGTATTTGGAAAGTAATAGCAAAAAATAGATTTTTCAATCTATCTTTCATATAGAAAGTCGTTTCTAGTGCCTGATACCGTTTTAAGTTGCTTACCTGGATATTTTGATTAAAATTGTCCTTGGCTCCTGTATGAGCTTTTGCCATGGCAGGTCACTCACCATGAGTATGAAGTTGAAACCTCCGACAGAGGAAGAATTACAAAACGCAGGAAATCAAAAAGCACAGTCTTGTTTGGGGTGTGCTTACTGATATAGTGCTATTTATTTTTAGAGGATTGACCAACTTTATGGTTGATAATTTATTTGTCTTTATAATGTATTTTGCATTCTATGCTTATCATCAGGGCCCAATGAAACATAAGACTACCGATACACCAAAAACCAAGAGCAGAAAAGATGTTGTAAAGGTAAGGATGCATGGAAAGCTGATTTCAAGCTTTTGATTTCTCTTGAATATTTTGAATAATTTTCTCTAGTTATATATTCTTTTTCATTGAAATAAATTAGAAGCATCATCAGTTACCTTAAATTCCTTAAATTTTAGATTTTACTGATATATATATATATATATATATATATATATATTAACATTGTTTAAGTTTCTTTTGAAAGAATTTGGGTAATATACTTTGCTGCTATGGGAGTCTGTGTTTATTGATGTGCATCAAGATTTGCACTGGAGTTTTTTCCCACTTGGATTAAGTGTGAGAATATCAAGAAACTGGACACTTACGTTGTCGTTTTCTTTGTTTTATGTGTGTATATTTTGACTGGTTTGTGTCATCATAAGCATCATTATCATCATCCATGCCTTATCCCAACTAGTTGGCTTCATGAATCCTGTTTTGCCAATTCAATCTATTTAAAATCATATCCACTGTTATTAGTGCTTAAATTATTTCTTACTATTTCTAATCATGTCCTTTTTGATCTATCCTTATCTCTTCTAACCCTTTTAATTTTGTAGCAAATCATTTCTTCTGGAGCTTTTCATCTCAAAAGAAATATATCTGAGTGTATTTGCTCCTTGTTCAGGTAATCAAGGGTGGTCCTGATTCACGCCCTTCAGCAATAGGTGACTTGTTTACGGAGGGGTCTTTGAATCCTTATGCAGACGATCCTTATGCATTTGACTAGAGGTATTTGCAATTAGTTACATGTAATAACAGTCATTTTTAGGTTATTCAAATAAGCATGCACATAAAAAGAGCTTTTGGCATTTGTCTTTGTGAATTGTTGGACCAATGTGCTCTTCTTTTTTGAAACTGAATTGTTGGTATTGCCAATACAAATTGTTGAATAATCACTAGGGAGTGGGGGGCCTGGGGGCCCACATCTTTAAAGTTTTAAATTGTACGAATTGATTTTGTATCGGTGTATCATGTGTATCTGAGTATACCAATACAAATACAATACGCCTCAATACAGGTGTATAATATATCGACATTTTAATCCTCGACTCTAAGACAATTTACAAGGGAATAAAAAGGTTTGGAGATTGATCCCTGGTTCTCATAAGACCCTAAAAAATAGTCCTTTTAGAAATAATAAAGATTTTAAAAAATAAAGGCTAACCAAAAGAGAAACGTTTTAAATTGTATCAAATATCTTGTCTTAGGATGAATAGAATCAAGGCTCAAAATTTCATCGCGTATTGGAGTGTATTGGACGAATCTGGCGAATCTGTTGTTTTGCTAGCATCCTGATATGTCTAAGTAAAATACATATTTGGGCTTTTGGCAATATCGGGTCTTAGTTTGGTAATTTTGCTTGATCAAGAAATATGTTTTACATTGCAATGAAATTGAGGCAAAGTTATTTAGTTGGTCCACAGATAGCAATCGGGTATAATTATGTTCCGGCTGTCGAGCTCGCATCATCCATTCTCAAGGGACAAAAAGCTTTTTGTCCTTCCCAATAGAGAGCAGCCATGACACCATTTACATTCTAAACCCAAAACTACCGGAGTCCAAACTTAACCGCAGTCAGGACTCCAAAAAGGAATCAAATTTTGTTAGTCCACTCAAATAGATTCCCATTTTTCGTTTTTCTAGAACTACTCTCTTCCTCTCTCTCTCTCCTCTCTCCCCCCTACACCACCATTTTTCGTTCATCTGCTGCAATAGCAGGCTCTCAACCACCATTCATTCCCCATCTCAAGTCCGACTCTCTCTCATCCTCTTCTTTCATCTTCCCTCCTCACCTCCAGTTCCCCCTGCTATGGATTGCTGGAGACCATTGCTACCAACTACTGAAGACTACTCTTAATAACAACGCAAGGATTTCAGTGGCGAACTCAATGTAACAGAAGACGGAGAACATGGCTGAGAGGTTGGAGACAACATAAGAGATGACAAGAGAAGGGCCACTGTTGTATTTGGCCTCTGCCTGTGAGGACAAAGATACCAATACCAACAACAGCAGGGCCTCTTCCCTCCTCACCTTGTTTAGCTTTGTTTCATCCTTCAACCTTATTCCAATTTTGTTTAGCTTTGTTTCATCCTTCAATTGAATCAGAATGTGATTCTTTAGCTATGGACTTGGGCATAGTAAGAAGGAAATAGTTCATATCCTGTGTCCTCTTTTTGTCCCTACCAATAGAGAGCAACCACAACACCATTCACATTCAAAACTCAAAACTAACGGAGTCCAGATTTAAACTGTAGTTTGGACTCTGATAAGGGGTAATTTGGCACGACCTAGTAAGTAAAGGTCATGTGGACGCGATCCCTGATAGTTTACCTTAGTGACCATTGGCCAGTTTACCATCCCCCTGACATTCTCATGGGTTCCATCACTGTCCGTGCCGCACACTATCCAACATGTGAGTGTCTCGCTCCCCCAAGTGAATGCCACATTCTCGGAGCCTTCTGTGATTCCCCCTGGGGTCGGGCACTCCCAGTTTAATGACCTCATCTAGAATGTTCGGATGATGCAGATTCAAATGTGATAGTTCCACCAATTCCAACAGTTTTAGTAGTATTATATCTATCAACAGTACCAGTAGCAGTTCCCACCGTTGCAACCGAACCAGCTGACAAATCAACATCAAGGGCAGACTCAGAACCCGAATCAGCATCAGGCTCATCAGAACGTCCGTCAATCTCCCCCCTGTGGTGAGAAAACTTCATAGGAACTGGTCCCTCCCTCGGGATGGACCTCACCACGGGGTATAATAGGTGATCGGCATACTCCCCCGACCTCCTGAAAAGAGAACTCAAAAGATAGGCCCGAATCCAGCTAGCCCGAGAGGCATAGTCAGCAGTTTCCATACCAAGATAATGTAGATCGTCATCTCGGGGCCCGAGGTGCGGGCTCAAGAAGAGACCCCTCAGTCCCTCGTGATAGCCAGCGCCGGATACGCGACAAAGAAGAAGCAGCGAGAAGAACCCTCGAACCACCTCGCCCCACCATTCGGAGCAAGATCGAGATACTTGACAACACTGAGGCTAGCAGTATAAACGCCGCACCACCAAAGAAGTAGCAATGGCGACGTCGCAAGACTTTCCGTTCCTCAACAAGGAATAGCCCACCAGCAAAGCCTAGCCATCTAGTGGATCAAAGCCAAGAAAGAGAAGAGGTAAGCTCGGTGGCCATGAGAACGATGCCTGCTCTTTTGAGCCGGCCATCCCCCTGTCACCTGAGCTCCCAGTGGCTCCAATGCCGAAAGATTTCAAAGTATCACCACTAGACAAGTATGATGGGTCTTTTGACCCCAATGCTCATGTAGATGCGTTCCAGTCCTAGATGCATCTCACCGAGGCCGATGAGGCTTGCATGTGCGTGGCTTTCTCCACCACATTTAGAGGAGTAGTTTGGACCTGGTATAGAAACCTCAAAGCTACATCAAGTGCTTCAATGAGACATGCCTACAGATATCAGACCTTGATCCGGTGGTACGCCTCTTCGCAACATGTAAAGGAATTACTCATAAGGAGTTCAAGTGGCACGTCGTGGAAAAAAGCTAGAGTTGCTTAGGCTAGCCGATTAGTTTATTAGTACAAAAGAAGAAATAAACCAGAAGACCGACAACCAGCAAGGCGAAAAAAGAAAGAGAGAAGAAGAATGGACGAGCAACAATAAGCAGAAAAGGAAAAAGAGCAAGTCCCCAAAGCGAAGAAGCAAGTCCTCCTCATGAAGTTACAGGTTGGGTCAGCTTTCTAGGACCTCACCAGTAGAGAGAACCAATTATACTCCCCTTAACGCGAAGCGAGGAGAGATCTTGATGGCCATTAAAGATTCCTCCATCATTAGATGACCACCTAGGCTATGGGGAGACCCAGCAATCAAGAACCCAAATGTTTATTGTCACTTTCATCGGGACCATGGTTACATCACAGAGAACTGCAAAAACCTCCACGATGAGATTGAGGAACTCATTCGTTGTGGATATTTGAAGAACTATATTTTGTGCGAGGAGAAAGGACAAGGGGACTAATAGGGAGATCGGAAGAAGGATGCCCTAGAAACTAGTAGGCAAAATGTACAACCACCTCGCTTGCTACTAGAAGAAAGACCGATCTGCGGGGTGATCAATGTAATCAACGGGGAATCCATTGTAGCAGGGTGCATGTGCTCCAAGAACTGGAGCACGAGATAGAGAACCCACTAAAGCGACCTCGGATCAAAGAACCCATTTATTTTACCAAGGACGATGCTCGTGGGATTCAGTATCCTCATGACGATGCCCTTGTTGTAAAATTGATCATCAATAACTTCGAGGTGAAGCAGATCTTGGTGGACTCAGACAGTTCAACCGATATCCTCTTCAAAGGAACTTTTGACAAGTTACAACTGTAGCAGAGCGATATGAAACCGGTGGATACTCCACTAGTAGGGTTCAACCGAGAGGATACATTCTTGGTGGTTGCAACTCCGTCCCCTTACAATGCAATTATAGGTTGGCCCATCATACATGCATTATGCATGATAACATTAACTTATTATCTCGCGATGAAGTTTTTGACAGATTACAGAGTGGGGGTCATACGAAGTGATCAACTCGAATCCCGTAAGTGCTACGTGGATGCCCTCAAGGGAAAGGTAAAACTGGCGGAAGATGTCGAACTGGAGCAACCGACAGATTACATTGAGGAGCGAGCTGCCCCGATGGAAGAGGCAATCCACATATCGTTTCTGAGACCGAATCGACCAAGAATCTTCAGATCGGTGCACTGATAAGCGAATCACTCCGAACACAACTAGTGAGTTTCTTACTCAATAGTGTAGACCGTTTTCGCCTGGTCTGTGGTAGAAAAGCCCGGAATCGACCATAGTGTGATAACTCATAAACTTAATGTGGACCTTTTAGTTAGGCCAGTTAGACAAAGAAAACGCAACCTCGCCCCAGAGCGGTGGAGGGTAGTCAATGAGGAGGTTGGGAAGCTCTTCGCCATAGACTTCGTTAGGAAGGTCCATTACCCGAGCTAGGTCGCCAATCCTGTGCTTGTGAAGAAAGCCAATGGCAAGTGGCGCATGTGTGACGACTACACTGTCCTGAACAGAGCCTATCCAAAGGATTGTTTCCCCTTGCCCAGAATTGATCGCCTGGTAGACGCGACCTCAAGGCATGAGTTGGTGAGTTCATGGATGCTTACTCTGGCTACAACCAAATTAGGATGGGCACAACCGACCAAGATAAAACTACTTTTGTAACCGAACTCGGGTTGTACTGCTATAAAGTTATGCCCTTTGGTTTGAAAAACGCTGGAGCAACTTTCCAGTGACTTGTAAACAAAATTTTTGAACATTTGATTGGCAATAAAGTGAAATGCTATGTTGATGACATGGTCGTGAAGACCCAATTTTCTAGATCTTTAATTGATGATTTAGATGCTATTTTTAAAATTTTAAGGAAATTCAATATGAAGTTAAACCCAAACAAGTGTGTGGTGTGTCCAGAAGCATGTTGTTAACCACTTCGGAACACCAGTTTAAACATTTATAAAATTTTTTGACTGTCAAACAAATACTAATGCGGTAAATGGGTGAGAACATGTCGTATCCACAAGGAAGCGAGGGGAAAATTAACAAATACTCAAATCCGGACAAGAGAACAAAGTGAAAAAATATAAAAATTAATTAATTAAAMTGAGAAAAATATAGAATTCGAACAATATTGAAAGTTAAAAGTGTAAAAACATAAATAAATATAGAAATAAATAAACAAAAGAAACAAAATAAAAATCTGTAATCCGATCAGAGGTAGTAGTCTTTGGATCTCTCCTTTGACCCTCGAACTTCTTGAGCTAAGCCTTCCGTCTTACCTGGCCGAATTGTAAATCTGCAGAAAACAAAATGAAGATCAAATAGAATGAAAATAAGTTACAGAAAATAAATAATGA